TTTATTTAGAGCTGTTGGTCACAAATCTATAAATAGAACCTGCTGCCCAAGTCCCTAAACCATAGCTTGCTGGGAGCTCTGCTGGTATTCCAGATTACCAGACACAAGTCCAGATTTTACATAATGTCCCTAAAGATCTGCCCTTTGTTTTGATGAAAACCCTTCACTCCTTCAGTCATGCATTCTTAGGGCTTTTTTAGGCAAGCTGCTCAAAAAGAAACTATTGTGGGAATAATGCTTAGGGACCATAAGAATTTAACAAATTTACTAGATCTTTAGTTTAACTGGTGCTAGGGGAACTCTGTTCTGTCACGCTGATCTGCTATATTTTTCAAAACCTCAAGATGCAAAAAACACTTGAGGTTTTTTATTCCTGCTTTAGATTTTGACTGTTGCTAGTTTGTTCACAGGTAGAGGAAATAAATGAGAAACACTGCAGATTGGAAAGCAGTGTAACAAATAACAAATAACAAAGAGCAGAAAGGTTAGAGAAAAAGCAACTAAACATTCTCACGTTTAATCTGTTGATATAATCTGTGGTTATACTTTATATTTGCGAGTAAGAACTGATGCAGACACGTGTAAAAGTGTAGACACACACGCATACACCTCACACATTCTTCTGTTCTGTATGAAGACCAGGTGGATACAGCTCAGGTTGTAACACAGGAGAAGATTAGAAAAGGAGGAGAGCATTTCACCTGGAGATAAACCAGCAGACAGTCTTATGCAGCTCCACCACAGCCTGCATGACTTTCTGTCCCTCATGTGAGGATCCCCACTTCTACATCCATGTTCCCAAAACTTCTTCACCCATCCTCCCTAACAGGAAGGGCACTGTACGTTAAAACCAACACAGCTGAAGACTGGGACCCTCCTTTGCAATTCCTGAACACAGCAGTGATCACCATGAACTGGTTTTCTGCACAAGAAGCTGATGAGCAACAGAAGAAGCATTTACTGAAAAATAGGCAGGAGAATCTGCAACAAGATTTTGGAGTAAAACAGAGTTCATGAAGATTTCAGAGAGCAGGCTGCGTGAGGGAGTTGAGTTGTTTTCCCAAAGGTTTTAAACCTTTTCTACCTTCTTAAAGTTTGTGTGTGTAGGAAATTACTGTGGTTTCTGCAGTATTTGCACAGGATTCACAAAAAATTCAACTCCAGTCACCAGAGAGACATTCTGAGAAGGTTTTCTGAGGGTATAACTCTAAGCAGTGGGAATGAATGCAACCTGCTCTCGGAAGGGTTCCACACTGTATTAGTGCACTGCTGGACGATGGTTGCACAAAGAGTGCAGACTGTAGATTGTAGATCTGAAAACAATCATCCCTCCCAGCCCAGACTCAGTGGCACTGGTACTCAGTAATTAGAGCTTTTTGTGACAGATTTGTGCCCGTTTGGGAAGCAGGATCATGAAGCCCAGGACCACAAGCCACTTCTTTGCTCTATTCAGTTATTACCATTTTGTGTAACAGGAGATGCTAAGGTTCTTTGGGAAACCAGTACTTCCTTAGAACCTCATCGTGGCCATGGAAAGGAGAAAGGATTCAGATTTTTTCTTTTTATATTCCCTCTGATACTAATCTGCTTAAAAGGCAGATAACTTCATAGAAGTTGATCCCACCTTCAATAGGTGGGAGATCAGAATACTTCCTTCTTAAGAAATTTTAAATTTTGACACACGAGTTAGAAGCAGTGTTCTGTCATCAAAGCAAGAGTGGGCAATAGAAATTAGTTTTGCTGCTTTGGGGCAGAAATAGTATGATTTGAGCCTTTTTTTCCAGTGACTGAAGCTAAACCATAAATGACTGGCTAGATAAGCAAGAGTAGTGTCATTAACTGTAGGGACATGGTGCAATGACAGTCTAGCAACTAATTTTTCACTACTGTCCTGTGACAACAAATTTCCTGCTTACACAATGCTGGCTTGTCCCAGTCTATCACA